GGGGGGGGGGGGGGCTTACCAGCCATTGATCTCATTCTGAGCATTCAACGCCACCCCGTTACGGACTAGCATCCGCACCTCCTCGAGATTGCCTAAAGCAGCAGCTTCCCGGAGCCTCTCCTCCAGGTAGCTGCTCATCTTCCTTGTCTCTTTCCCCCCTCCGACCCTTAGCGCTCCCCCCGGCAGGCCCAGGAGTGCCCCATCCGCAGGCGTCCCCTTGGAGGGAGGGGGAGGGAGGGACGGAGCGAGAGAGCGAAAAGAGAAGCTGCTGTTGCTATTGCTCCCCTCACAGTGCTCTCACTCCCTAGTTCGCCTGGCTTCGAGCCCGCCGGCTGCAGAGGCTGCACGCGCGGCCCACCGCCAATGCCCCTCAGGCGGCGAGGCCAGCGGGAAGAAAGTGAGCGCGAAGGGGGGGGGGGGAGCAGATCGCAGGGCAGATTCGAGAGAAGGGATTCGAAGTTCGGTCTCCAGGACAACCAGGGCGGGCCTTAAATGCTTGTAGAACCCGAGCCGAACGACTAGCGGCGGCGGTTGCTCCAGCGAAACGTTGAAGCTTCGCGCAGGGCAAATGTGTTTCTGGGTCTGTGTCTGGTTTGGACATTTCCAGTGTAAAGCATCCCTAAAAATCTGGATTGAATAGCAGAAAAGCCAACTAAAATTTTGTCCTCTAATACATAAAGTCTGTGGGGGTGGTGTTCATCTCTGTTTCAAAGCTGCAGAGCCAGCACTGTCCAAAGACGTCTCTGTGGTGATGTGGCTGGCATGCCTAAACGTGTTACATTCCCACCAAAGTGGTTCCTATTTTTCTACTTACATTTCTATGTGCTTTCAAACTGCTAGGTTGGCAATGTGGCACTAGGGAATCGAACCAGCACAGTTTCAAATCCCACTGTTTGAACACTACAGCTAGGGTAGAGTTGACTGACCACAGATGAGCAACTTCTTGTGCTATGCAAGGCAGTGGTTAAGTGAGTTTTGCCCCATTTGATTACCTTCCTTGGCACAAATAAGTGAATCACTGCTGTTGTTTAAGTTAGTAACACAGTTATTAAATGTATCTGGCTTCCCTATTGACATTGCTTGTCGCAAAAGTTGATCACATGACCTCAGAACATTGCAGCCGTCATAAATATATGACATTGTCCGAATTTAAACATGTGACCATGAGATTATTGCAGCGGTCATAGATATGAAAAATAACAATATTAATGTCATAAATATAATAACAATGTCATAAATAACTTTTTTCAGTGCCATTGTAACTTTGAACAATCAATAAACTTAATGCAATATCGGGTTTTCAATTTCAATTATATAGCATGTGAAGGATGTGTGTGTTTCTATTTTTATAGTTATAATGTACACTGAAGACGGCATTTAATTTCGTTGTACTGTTGAAAAAAATATCCTTCTGGGTTCGGCTCCAAGTGGGGGAAAAGACACTGGAGACATGGAGGCTGCTTGGAAA